TGGCCATTTTTTTTGGTTGCGGCCATCATTGTTGTTTGGCAGGCCTGGGCTAGATTCAAACCCACCACCTTAGGTGTATGTGGCTGGCACCTTAGCTAGTTGAGCCACAGGCGCTGAGCCTAAGGTACATGTTCTAACTTTGGCCCACCAATAGAATAGAAATAAATTGCAAGTGACCATCTCTCATTCATAAATATGACCTTTAAGAAAGTGGCCACTCCTAGATTTAATTCAACTAATCACTATAAAAGTCCTATGTTTATCCTCAACACAGGATTACAACAACAGAAAGGGGAAAGCTACTTCCATATCTCTCTACCTTCTCACAAAATGAGAAGAACTCCAGATTTCAAATACCGAAGAGAGCATAACACTTAACCTTTTCCCTCCAGTTTTATTTTATTTTTTGTTTTTTTGAGACAGAGTCTCACTATGTTGCCTTCTGTAGAGTGCCGTGGCATCACAGCTCACAGCAACCTCAAACTCTTGGGCTAAAGCGACCTCCCAAGTAGCTGGGACTACAGGTGCCTGCCATTATGCCCGGCTAATTTTTTCTACTTTTAGTAGAGACAGAGTCTCCCTCTCGTTCAGACTGCCCTCCCTGAGCTCAAGCAATCCTCCTGCCTCAGCCTCCCAGATTGCTAAGATTACAGGCATGAGCTACCTCGCCCAGCCTCCTCTAACATTTTTACCTACCTAACTTTCACCCAGCCAATTCTTTAAAATCTCTGGTTTGATTATCCCTAAATTCCTTCTATTAAATCTACATTATCTCTAGTGATTTCACTTGGGATTAAAGAGGAGGTAATTGGGACTGTAAATTGAAAAAATGGACAAAGGATACAGTAGTGTGTTCAACAATTCTACCAAAATTTTTTCACTGTATGATATCATTCATCTAGCAAAGTTTTTTGAATGTATGTGATGATATATATAACTTTTTCTTCCACATAACTAGTTCTTTTTCTACACAATAGAGACCCACAATCAAATAAAGCAAACAAAAACAGGAAGCCACTTTAAGGACAAAATTATAAGTCAATTACTGAAGTTTAAACATATGAAATAAAAAATTATCTAACTTAATTGCTTAAGCCCAAGAGTTTGGTGACACCATGGCACTCTATGGAGGGCAACAAAATAATACTCTGTCTCAAAAAAATAATTATCCAAGTTAGTGTAATGCAACTTGTCCTCCAAATCCACATTCAGGGAATGCATTCCTGCATATCTCTCAACGTTACAGATCCTATCAGCAAATTAAACTCTTGGGCAACATACCTTCCCAAAATTTATAATGGATTTTGTTCATGAATATTAGCTTATTGTTGCCCCATTCCACCAGCTGAAAAAGGACATAAAATTGTTCCAACATTAACTTTCTTTTTTTTTTGAGACGGAGCCTCCAGCTATCCCCCTGGGCAGAGTGCCATGGCATCACAGCTCACAGCAACCTCCAACTCCTGGGCTCAAGCGAGTCTCCTGCCTCAGCCTCCCAAGTAGCTGGGACCACAGGCGCCCGCCACAATGCCTGGCCATTTTTTGGTAGCAGCCGTCATTGTTGTTTGGAGGTCCCGGGCTGGGGATTCGAACCCACCACCTTAGGTGTACGTGGCTGGCGCCTTAGCTGCTTGAGCCACAGGCGCCGAGCCCCAACATTAACTTTCTATGTATTCATTCATGTTTCCGAAGAATCACACCTCATTACCTTCAGGCGGAGGCTGGCCTGAGGCTGCAGCTGCAGAGCGAGAGGGGCCTCGCACACCACACAGATGGGGGTGTTCATGGGAACCATGTTTCCACACTCTGCACATAAGCCCATCTGCACAAAACAAAGGGCCAGATTTTTCTTGGCAAGCAAAAATGAAGGTATGAGTAGATCTTAGAATGTCAGATTTAATTTGCTTTTGTAAAACAACTTCCAAAACAATTTCCCTTATGATGCATATGCTTATTACTCTGATTTGATGACTATACATTGTATGCACCAAATATCACTATGCACCCCATAAATATGTACAATTATTCTATGTCAATTTATAAAATAAATAATAAAAATGAGATAAAAATAATTACCTCTATTATTATTCCTAGAAGTGGAAACATATTTATTATAGAAAAGAAAGGTATAACAATGGAAAAATATCCATAAGAAATTAACTTATAACATGAGTTAATGAAGAGGGTGATAAACCCTCTCCCCCCAAAAGAATTATAAAGTGAGATAAAGCTGTCAAGTATCAACCACTTCAGCACTTTGAAAGTCAACCACAAGTAGATGAAAATCTAAAAAGTTCCTGAAAATGACAGACCTTCAGAAAAATTACATTAATTGCCAGTTGACTCACAAACCCCCCCCAAAAATGCAGATATAAAAAGCTTTTTTAAAATTCTTAAAAGAAGGGGCGGTGCCTGTGGCTCAAAAGAGTAGGGTGCCAGCCTCATATGCCGGAGGTGGTAGATTCAAACCCAGTCCCGGCCAAAAACTGCAAAAAAAAAAAAAAAAATTTTTTTTTTAAAGAAAAGAGCACTATAAGTCTGCACGGTTCTGGCCTGGAGCTGATATATATCATCTAGCTTCCAGCAAGGCAGGGCCGACTGTGAAAATCAGTGCTGTTATTGCTGCTGACAGACAGGCTGACTTGATTTGAAACATAGTTAAGGGGATGATCTCAGTGGCAAGCAAACCAGGAGGACCAATGACTCCATTAGCATGAAATTATACACCTGTTTAGGGTAATCAATAGACCTAGAAATTGGCCAAGGATTTTACAGGGAGTTCTAAAAGGTAAGACTATAGGGGCTTGATAAGCTCTCCACATATCCTTACTTGGCTGAAAGGCTACAAAAATGCACAGTATTAACCATAGTGGGCCCAAGCCACCCCACATCCCTGGCTGATAGGACTGCACATGGAGATCCAAGAGAGCTCAGAATACAAAAAAAGCCAGGGTGGACTTGAAAACAGCCTGAAGTCTGAATGTTCTACCCAGCCTACACACAGATTCACCAGCACAGAAGAGAAGCCTTCCTGGCCCAAGATACTTAACACAATTTCTGGCCAGTCTTTGGTGGAACCACTAATATATACAGACCCAAAGGTAACTCCAGGCAAGAAAAGAGAAAAAGAAAGAAGGAAGAAGAGGGGGAGGAGGAAGGAAGAAAAAAACATGTCAGAAATGTCAGAAGAGGCTCAGCGCCTGTGGCTCAAGTGGCTAAGGCGCCAGCCACATACACCTAAGGTGGCGGGTTCGAATCCAGCCCGGGCCCACCAAACAACAATAATGGCTGCAACCAAAAAAATAGCCGGGCGTTGTGGCAGGCGCCTGTGGTCCCAGCTACTTGGGAGGCTGAGACAGGAGACTCGCTTGAGCCCAGGAGTTGGAGGTTGCTGTGAGCAGTGAAGCCATGGCACTCTACCCAGGGGGACAGCTTGAGGCTCTGTCTCAAAAAAAAAAGAAAAGAAATGTCAGAAGAAGAAAGAAAACAGAAGAGAAGGAAGAGGAGGAACAAAGAACCCTGATGCCAGAATTTATCCAAATAAACAAAATCAGAGACCTATTTTTTTTAGAGACAGAGCCTCAAGCTGTCCCCCTGGGTAGAGTGCTATGGCATCACAGTTCACAGCAACCTCCAACTCCTGGGCTCAAGTGAGTCTCCTGCCTCAGCTTCCCAAGTAGCTGGGACCACAGGCACCCACCACAATGCCCCGCCAGGCTATTTTTTTGGTTGCAGCTGGCATTGTTGTTTGGCCGGCCTGGGCTGGATCTGAATCCACCACCTTAGATATATGTGGGCTGGCGCCTTAGCCACCTGAGCCACAGGCGCCGAGCCAAAATCAGAGACTCTTAAGAGAAAAAGTAAGAATCCAGAGTTGCTCCAATATATTATCTAAAATGTCCAGTATTTCAGAAAAAAATTATGAGACCTGCAAAAAAATAAGAAAGTGTGGTTCATACTGTGTGTCCCCACAGTGGCTAAATGGCTAAATACAAAATCTTTTTAGATCTTTAGACAAAGATTTCAAAGCAGCTATTATAAAAAGTGTTCAGCTCGGCACCTGTGGCTCAAGCGGCTAAGGCGCCAGCCACATACACCTAAGGTGGCGGGTTCGAATCTCCAGCCCGGGACCGCCAAACAACAATGATGGCTGCAACCCAAAAAAAATGGCCAGGCGCTGTGGCAGGCGCCTGTAGTCCCAGCTACTTGGGAGGCTGAGGCAGGAGACTCGCTTGAGCCCAGGAGTTGGAGGTTGCTGTGAGCGTGATGCCATGGCACTCTACCCAGGGGGATAGCTTGAGGCTCCGTCTCAAAAAAAAAAAAAGTGTTCAATGAACTAAAGGAAATCATATTTAAAAAACTAAAGAAAGGGCTGGGCGCAGTGGCTCACGCCTATAATCCCAGCACTCTGGGAGGCTGAGGGGGGTGACTGCCTGAGCTCACAGGTTGGAAACCAGCCTGAGCAAGACCCTTTCTCTAAAAATAGCTGGGGATTGTGGCAGGCACCTATAGTCCCAGCTACTCAGGAGGCTGAGGCAAGAGGATTACTTGAGCCCAGGTGTTTGAGGTTGCTGTGAGCTGTGACACCACAGCACTCTACCAACAGTGACAAAGTGAGACTTTGTCTGAAAAAAAAAAAAAACAACCTAAAGAAAGTACGGTAACAATGCTGTGATGAGTAGGGAATCTTAAGAGGAAGAAATTATAACATAAGGAATAAAACCCAGAGTTGCAAGGTAAAATAACTGAAATGAAAAAACCACCACAGTGACACAGCAGCAGACTGAAGATGACAGAAGCAAGAACCCATTAGTAGTTCAACAGAAATTATCTAACCTGAAGAACAGAGAGAAAAAAGACTGAAGAAAATGAGCAGACCATCAAAGACACACAGAGCAGCACCAAGCACGGCAATGTATATGACGGGAGAGAAAAAGGCAAAGAATGAATTTGGAGAAATAATGGCCAAAAACTTCCTACATTGGAAGAAAATCACTAAATCTACTCCCACACCTGTTCCCCAAGTCTGTCTATATATTACCAAAATCTTACTCTTCCTTTTGAGTGTAAGTTATTTCCTCCTGGGTCACAGTGTACACCTGTCCTCCCACAGCACACTGGGTTGGGAACCAGCAATGAGACAGGTGGTTGGGGGTTCTTGAATAAATGTCCCCTTTCAAGGCTTCTGTCCAGGTGAGGTTATCAGAAACATTTCGAGCAAATGAAGACAAATATCCTCAGGCACGAGGGCAAACTACACCCACTGGTAGCAGAGTGATGAGGGTTCAAAATTGTCAGTTTCTTCTGGGTCCAACCTGCCATCTCCACCCAAGTTTCAGGATTCCATTCTTTCCCAATTTATGCTCCAACTTCCACATGAGAAATCTGGTGATCAGGTGAATTCAACTGACATTTATAACTGCCCTACATATGCAGTTAAATTTTTTGTTTGCTTTTCATCAATGTAGCACTAGAGTTATAAGAAATCTATTCTTGGCTCGGCGCCTGTGGCTCAAGCGGCTAAGGCACCAGCCACATACACCTAAGGTGACGGGTTCGAATCCCCAGCCCAGACCCGCCAAACAACAATGACGGCTGCAACCAAGAAATAGCCAGGCGTTGTGGCAGGCGCCTGT